TGTCTCTCTCTGTCAAATAAATAATAAAATCTTAAAAATAAAAAAAAAAGAGAAAGAAACCTATGGGCATCCAAGGCAAACAAATCAAGTCACCTATGAGGGGAACCAATCAGACTTCAGATGTCTCCTAGCAATATTCAAAGCCAGGAGATAGTAGAGGATTATTTAAAGTCTTCAGAGAACTGTCTACAAAACAAACAAACAAACAACTATCTAGGAAAAAAAGTATGACTCAAGAATTTTATATACAGCCAAATAATAAAGGGTAAGAAAAAAAGATATTTTCTTATGGGCAAAAACTCAAGGACTCTAGTTCCCAATAAATTATAAGTTCCATGAGGACAGGACTTTGTTTTGTATACTGTTATATGCTCATGCCCAAAATAGTATTTTATCTTTATTGTTAGAAATATAAATGTGGTTTTCTTTCCTTCACACCTTCTACTTGGTTGTTGAAGTATATATGAAAGCTATTGATTTTTATTTGTTAATTTGATATCCTACCATCTCACTGGATTCTTTTACTGTTTGTTATACTTTTTCAGTTGATTCTCTTGTGTTTTTCAGGGATACAATTTTATCTTAAAGATGAGTTTATAGATTCCTTTCCAATGACAGAAAGCACAGTGCTGAAAGCACAGACAGAAAGTACAGTACTTATTTTTTTCTCTTATCTAATACTTTGGTATAAACTTAAGAAATATACAAAAGCTATAAAGGGAAAACTTGGAAAGCATTTATGAAGGATACAAAGTAGATCTGAACAAAGATAGAGCATGTTCTTTCATAGAAAATCTCAACATTCTAAAGATGTCAAATCTCCAAAAGTTGACTTATATACCTAATACATTCCCAATAAAAAGTCCAATAGGTTTTTCTCTGGAAATAGAGAGTTGTATCTAACATTCATATGGTAAAATAACAATCAAGAAGAGCCAGCACAACTCTGAGAAAGAATGTATGCAACTGGGAAAGAAAGGGACTCAGTGTTAAGGATAAGAGGGAGACTTACTTTTCAATGTATCTTTTGGATTATTTATGTTCTTTAACCAAGTGTGTATATATATATATTTTTTGAGAGAGAGCAATATATATATTGAAATACATATATATTTTAGAGAGAGACAGCAAGCAGGTAGGGGAGGAGCAGAGGGAGAGGGAGAGAGACAATCCCAAGCAGTCTCCATACCCAGCGTGGAGCCCAACCTAGGGTTCGATCTCATGACTCTGAGATCATGACCAGAGCCAAAATTAAGAACAACCAGATGCTTAATGGACTGAGTCACCCAGGCGCACTGAAGTGTGCATATTTACATTTTTAAAAAATTAACATAATGGGAGGTGGGAATAAGTAGGAATAGGGCACCAATTTCTAAGGCAGAAACTTAAAGCTACATGGGATTGTGAGGGTTGTGAAGTAAAATGGGACTTGTGAGTACTGTTAT